CATGTGTTCGATTCCTGCTGAATGCATTCTTGGGGAGGGGGCTGAACCTTTAGCCATCACTGATCCCCCGCACTCCGGATTAGTCCCATAGCCGGCTCAAAGAGTCGAAGCTCGTGGGGATACCGGAGGGAGCCAACTCGCCTCAAAGAGGTAATTAGGGTTGGGTAACTCCAAAAAAAAAAAACCTTTTTTTTCCTTCCGTTTTTTTCTTCATTTTTTTTTTACGTTACACAAATGATGACCCAAAACCCGTTTAGATTTTATCAATATTTTTCTAAATAAAAAATTATCATATTAAAATTAGAGACGTAAGTTAACCGTGATAGTTTGTTAACCCTGTGAACTCTGTTTTGATTCATTTTGGTCGTGACGGCTTGGTGATTTGAAATTTATCTGAAAATTATAATAATAAAAAATAATAATTTCAAATCTAATTTTTCTAAAAAAAGGGATTAGCTGAGTTGAGACAGCTTGTTAATCCCATAATCTTTTGATTCATTTTGGTCGTGACGGCTTGGTGATTCAAAACTTATCTAAAAATCATAATAATAATAAAATAATAATTTCAAATCTATTTTAAAAAAGAGGGATTAGCTGAGTTGAAACAGCTTGTTAATCCCATAATCTTTTGAATCATTTTAACCGTGACGGTTTGGTGATTCAAAATTTACAATAACAACAAATTACTTAAATAAATATAGATCATCAAATCCAAAACTTTCTACTGAATTTCTCTAATTTTTTTTTTTAAAATTAAAATCAATCAACACACAAATATTTTCTAAAGAACGACGTAGCTTTGAATTCCTCACTGTACCGGAGGATACGTCAGAGCGAAACTCTTTTCCGTCAAGCTAAAATAAAATTTTAATATTTAGTCTTTCTACTCCCTAAACAGTCATATTTATTTTTAAGGAATAAAGCAAACAATTTTAAAAGCTATTAATAATTCGCACAATTAATTCAAGGTAACCGTTTTTAAACGGATGTGTCAAGGGTGCAGTGGGATTAAGTTTCCACCCTTCCTTGCGCATAATTAGAATCCCGAACCTTTGATTTATAATTTTTAAGACCAGTTTGCAAATAAAGGTTTTCCAATTTTTCCAAAGTAAATAAAATTGGTGGCGACTCCATTGTTTTAATTTTTTTAATTTCGGGTCGTTACAGATGGCGACTTCACTGGGGAGTTTAGAGAGTCAAGCCTGTTTTAATTAATTGTGCAAATTGATTTATATATTTGCTTTGCTTCCCTTTAGTCTGTTATTTTGCTTTATTTTTTATTTATTTATTTTCTCTCTCTTTTATTTTTTTTATTTTTTTATTTTTTTGCATTTTCTTCTTGTTTCTTATATTTTGATATTTATGCGAAAGATGTGATGATTGGCTTCAACTTTAGAATGGAGGACTTTTTATGTTATTATGTGCTTGCTCTCAATTGTTTTGCAGATTGGGTAGACTAGGGTTTATATGAAGGGTTGTATGCTCTTTCACACACGCCACTTATACATTTATCACACACGTACGAGTGGGGCCCTATACCCGGGTCTGAGTGCAACTTAAGATAGGAGAGAGGTTGTGTAGTGGTAGCCATTTTGGATGTACATCCTGTTTGGTTATCACGAAAATCTCGGCTAGAGTGTGACTCTTTCGAAATTATAGTCATTTTGGATGTACATCCTATTTGGCTATTCTCCTTCGAAATGGGATCTTAGCTCTAGTAGCCAAAATACATAGAGTTATAAAACTACCCCAACGAAAGTATTCACGTCATAGAATGACCTATGAATCAATATAAGACACAAGGGGAGCGTATTTCCTTTTCACTTCTTACTTCCATTTTCGCATATTTGCATTATTTCAAAATCATCGTTCCATAAATTTATCTTTCAAACATTCATGCATCTTGCATAGTGGAGTATTTTAGGCATACACATACCTTTCATTATAAAAAAGGATTTTATTTATTTATTTATTTATTTTTTATTTTTTATTTTTTCATCTTGCATCATTTAGCATTTTTAACATCTCATATTGTCTACCTTAACCCCTCCAGGGAATTTTGTTAGAGAAACTTTGAGTTCCAAAGTTTGATTGTGAGTATTATTGATGGATGATAGTACGGGATCACATCGCGATGAGGTAGCACCACGCGTATTGAAAAAGACTTTGCAACTGAAAGCAAGGAAGCCTGACACTGAAAGTTTGAAGGTCTTGGGTCGAATATTGAAGAAGACACAATGTTTAACTCTTGTTAGAAAATATGGGGAAATTCTAGATCTACTGGAAGTTGATGTGCAAGTAGATGCGATCACTGCGGTTACTCAGTTTTACGACCCACCTCTGAGATGCTTCACCTTTCGAGATTTCCAATTAGCACCTACTTTGGAAGAATTCGAGCAGATTCTGGGTTTGTCTTTGGAAAAATATGAGAAACCATATCGCTACTTGGGGCATTATCCTTCTTTGCATACTATTGCCGATGTCCTCAAAGTTCCTGTGAAGGATTTGCAAGAGAAGAAACAAAACAGAAATGGGATCGATGGATTTTCAAGAAAGTACCTGGAGGAACACCTTCACCACTTAGCTGGAATTGAAGACTGGGAAGCTTTCATTGATGTGCTAGCTCTCACCATATGGCATTCTCATATTTCCAAATGCTGATGAGTTTGTGGACTTCGCAGCTATAGATGTGTTCTTTGCTCGCAAGTTTAGAGGTGAAAATCCTGTTCCGGCCATTCTTGCTGATGTCTACTATACTCTAAATTTCTGTCATGAGAAGAAAGGAAAAAGAATTTTGTGTTGTTTGCCGATGTTATTCATATGGCTCACTGCCCATGTCTTCAAAAGAGGATACGAGATCTCATACCCCATCACTGAGTTTCACAGATATCAGTTAGGAGTCAAGAGTGGTCGTGAATGGGCCCAAATTTTAGCACAGCTGGACGAAAAGAGCGTCCGATGGTATCCTCGATGGGTCGAAAGAGAAAATTTGATCTACCAATGTGGGGATTTCCCCAATGTGCCTCTCATGGGTACCAGAGGGTGTATCAATTACAACCCATCCTTGGCACGACGACAACTTGGCTATCCTATGAGAGGAGCTCCTACGGAGGAGATGATAACTCCATTCGTCCTTTATGATATGAACCCAGTACATAATGAGACCCTCAAAAGGGTTCGAGATGCTTGGAACAATGTCATTAGAATGGGGAAAGAGTTGAAGACCAAAAATTGTGGAGTCCAAAATAGTTACCGACAGTGGGTTACAAGTCGAGCACGAGAAGTGAAGCTACCTTTCCAAGCTCTGACAGTCACTACAAGTGGTGAATCATCAATGTCTGCCTCCCACGACAACGAAGAAATAAGAGAAATACAAGGAGAATTGGTGAGGGTTGAAGAAGAGAAGAAGAAGATTGAAGTAGAACTTAAGGAAGCTCGACAAAGATGCGAGACCCTTGAACAAGAAAATATGAAGAAGAACCTTACTCTTGAAAGAGCTGATAAAAGGGCCAAAATTGAGGAAAATTATATGCTAAAAACTAAAGGGTGCCTTCAGGCAGCAAACAAGGAATTAAGCCTCCGAAGAAATGAAAGAGATGAGGCTATTACTAAGAGCACACAACTTGAAGAGTTACTCAAAAATTCTAGTGCGGCGTATAAAGATTCAAGGAGGCAAATGGCAGAAATGGGGCGACAAATGGAGATGAGAGTTGCAAAATATGAAGACAGGCTAAAAAAGGAAAAACAGTCTACAGAGGAAGTGATCGTGATGTACCAAGATGCAATTCAGAGAGAGCAAGAAGAAGTACAAAGGCTAACTGATTACATCGGAGGGCAAGATGAAATCATTGCTGCGTGCAGACATGAAGTAGCATTCTGGATGACTCGTTTTTCCAACTTAGCTGAAATCTCTAATGATGCAATTAAAAACATCCCGAACAAATTAGGAATGGCAGAGGCACTGGTGAACCCCCTCACTACTCCTGCAGAGATTCGCGACTTTATTGAGTATTGTAGGAATTTGATTGTGAAAATGAAACAATCGATCATCAGGCGCATGTAAAAGCAATGTATCCCTTTGAAACACTTGTACTATGTTATGGCTTTAATGAAGATATTTTGTTCGCTACCTATTTGTGATCCCGTATTGATATTTGATAGGACCTAGTACTTTCGAACGTGACGTTCCGAGAAATGGTCCTAAGAAAAACAATCAATGATACTCACGTCAAACTTACACGCATCAATGGTTCTCCGACAAACTTGCAATATTAATATTATTCTAAAAAATAAGAACATTGATAATAATACTCATTACGCCATCTTTACACAAAATAAAATAAACATTTTTCTTCCAAATTTAATTGCTCTCACTTGCAGAATATATTTTAAGACTCAAACATTGCGCGACCAAGGAGAAGTAATACCAATCAAACCCGAGTTCACAACACCAGATCTCGGACTAGAATGGAAGCAGGCGATCAAGAGGGGAGGAACATAAGCCAGGAAGTAGACGACGTAAGAGCTAGAATGAATACGATGGAAGATTTATTGCGAGCTTTAGCAGTGTCCATCAATGCGCAGCAACAGTCAACGACTCAGCCAGGCGGTACCCAAGGGATGAATGGGATGGGAGATGCAACGAACGATCTTAATGGTCAAACTCATACAATTCATATTGGTGAAGGATATCAGTCAATGGGGAATGCCGATGCTGAGGCACACATACAAGCTGGGACAAATGATTTCACCGCGGGACAGGCGACGGGAACCCAGTCTGGGAATGGTCACGTCTCTGGTCAGAAGGATAAAATAAAGGATGGATGGATGGAGAAGATGGAAAAGCTATTCATGGCCCTAGTGCTTACGGATCTCTTGGGGTGGAGGAATTATGCTCCACGATGGACGTGATTATCCCTAAAGATTTCAAAGTCCCAGATTTTTGTAAGTATGATGGAAGTACAAACCCAATTATCCACTTGAAGACGTACTGCACGAAGATGGCAATATGGTCCAAAGATGAGGTCTTCCTCGTTAGTTTCTTCCATGAGAGTTTGGCTGGTCCAGCATTAGAGTGGTACATCCAGATGGATCATTCTAAAATTGCCTGTTGGAAAGACTTGGCAGACGCATTCATGAACCAATATCGCTTCAACTTAGATACTGCCCCAACTAGGGAACAGTTAGGGGCTTTGCAAAAGGTGAATGATGAGACCTTTAAGCAGTATGCCCAGAGATGGAGAGCTCTTGCTGCACAAGTCCAACCTCCGCTGACACTGTCTGAAATGTGCTCTTATTTTCTAGGGACTTTAGGAGCTCCATATGTTGGAACGATGGCCGGCGCTGCGTATCGTGACTTTGCTGATCTCATAGCGGCAGGGGAACGAATTGAGATATTGGCCAAGGCTGGAAAGCTGCCAATGGACTACAGGCAGAGTAGCCCTCCTAAAAAAGGGTTGCAATCCAAGAAACGAGAATCTGAAGTAAATCATGTCAAACAACAACAATCTTTTGTTCCTCAATACCCCATGCCAAACCCAGTCCACCAAATACTATCGTACCATCCTACCCCGTATCCCTCTTACCAAACACCCACATTCTCTCAGCCGCCGCCACAAAACTTCCCAAATTTAAGCACTACGCCTACCCCACATTTTCGTGTAAATAACATACCTACCCCATCACCATATGTGCCAACTCGTCCGTCTTATGCTCCTCGTCCCCCCACACGTCCACAGTATCGTCCAAATTACACTCAACCACAACAAAACTCCCAAAACCAAACCCCTTTTCGTCCCCAAAATCTTCCACCATTTCCAAGGCTGTCTATCTCCAATACGGATTTATTCCAACGTCTGTTTGATGCTCATTTGATCTCAGAAAACCCTGTGCGCCCAATGCAACCTCCGTTCCCAGCATGGTATAATCCAAATTCTACTTGTAGATATCATATGGGAGTGGCAGGACATTCCATTGAAGATTGTGAGGCCTTCAAAACAGCAGTAAGAAAGTTGATTGCTTGCGGAAGATTGGATATCCAAGAAGAGACTGGGCCTAATATTGTCAATAACCCCATCCCGAGTCATGAAGGAAAGAATCAGGTGAATGCTATAGAAACAGAGGATACCGTGATAAAGAAAGTTCCGAGTCTGCGTACACCCATGTCGGGTATATGGGAGTGTTTAAAAAAAGCTGGTTATGACATCACGGTGCCAGGTTGTTTGATGAAGGATGATGAAAAATACGATGATGAGTCAAGTTGTGCGTACCACAATGGACACATAGGACATGATATTGAAAACTGTTGGGATTTCAAAGTCCGAATCCAAGGCTTGATCACATTGGGTGTCATACAGGCCAGGCGAAAGAATGCTTTTCCTGAAGAGGTTAATATAGTAGAACACTTTGTACTTCGGGTGCCACCTATTAACAAGCATCCTGTGCCTGAGAAAATGGTTATGAAAGTGAAGAAACCAACGCCTTTTTCTTATAATGATACTCATGCAGTACCGTGGAACTACGAGACAAGTGTTGAAGAAATTGGAAACACCTCGAGAGCCAATGTTGATGATACTCGCTCGGTGGAAGAATCAATGAACACAATGAGAGTGGGGGAAGTCACGAGAAGCGGGAGATTCTATTGCCCGAAAGAACTAGAAATGAAGAAAAATAGAAAGGAAGAAGGAGGTGAAGGAATCATCAACAATGAAAAGAAATAAGAAAAAGAGGAAGATGAGCTCTTAAAGATCATGAAGCAAAGTGAATACGATGTGATGGAACAGTTGAAGAAAACTCCAGCTAGGATATCACTTCTATCACTGATCCTCTCATCGGAATCTCATCGAAAGGCGCTCATGAATATGTTGAGTGAGGCTTATGTCAAGTCAGATGTTACTCCTGAAAACGTGGTCAACATGGTAGATCCAGTGAAACATGTTAACATGATCACATTCTCAAATGATGAAGTTGTCTGTTCATCGGAGAAGACCTCGAAAGCTCTGCATATAACACTGAAATGTAAAGGGTATATTATAGCCAAGGTTTTGATTGACGGAGGATCAGCACTAAATGTCCTACCACTGTCAACTTTGTCTCAGCTATCGATGAGCACGAATGATTTAACCCCTCAAGAGATGATTGTGCGAGCTTTTGATGGTACAAAGAGAGGAATTCTAGGGGAGATAGTTTTAGCCTTAGAGATAGGCCCGAGTAATTTTCAGGTTTTATTCCAAGCCATGGATATCGAACCTGCCTATACCATGCTCCTGGGTAGACCTTGGATCCATGCAGCAGGTGCTGTGCCTTCTACCCTGCATCAAAAGGTCAAATATATCGAGAATGAGTTGATTGTCACCATCCATGGAGAAGAAGAAATCATGATTTCTAAACCAGTCTCGGTGCCGTATGTTGAAAAAACAAATCCGATAGAAGGAAATGGGTGGCATAGTTTTGAAGTTGTTGAATCTAGTTGCAAAAAAGATGAATCACTGGGGCAAGGTGTGAATGAGATAATCGCTCGAATTATGGCCAAGAGTGGATATAAGGTGGGTAAAGGTTTGGGCTCGCAGCTGCAAGGTAGCCGATCACCTATAATGGTTCCAGAAAAATCAAATAAATTTGGTTTAGGGTATGAAGGGTCGTTTGAGGAAAAAGTTGAGAGAAGAAGAGGCAACAAGGGCAAGACGCAACAAATTCCCCATCTAAGAGAAACATTCCCGGTGCCAGCAGAGGTTATTATGCCTGAAGAGGTCGTTCATCTCCCACACCATCTCCATATCAATGCACTGGATGATGAAGACCTAAAAGGATGCAGCACGATTCGTCTGTCCACTAATGATGAAGCATTGAAGAATTGGTAGACAGAACCAGTTATTGATGTGATTGCTATGAAGTAATTGTCTAGTTGATTTGTATTAGCAGCTGTTTGAGCCATTTTGAAACTTATGTTATGTTGCGCGAGACATTAATTAAGTAAATGAATTTGTATGGATTTTCAGTAATTTTAATTATTTCTCATCCAATTTGGTTTTTTTTTCATTTTAAATTCTTTAACCAGCGTTATTATTATCATTTTTCTTCTTCTTTTCTCACGTTCATCCTTTCATTATTCCTTGCGTTCTTACTTTTGTGCCATTATATATGTTGTATTCCAACTCAACATAAATTACTTTCCAGGAATCTTGATCTCATTGAAAATTTGCCTCATGAAAGGGACCTTGAAAACTCACCGATTGATTCTCTTGTGGCTATCAATGAAGAAGATCCAGGGTCTGATGAGGAGCAAATAGTAGAAGAATTTTCAAAGTTGTTAGAAGGCTCGGAAAAGAAATTTGATTTGAATGATGAGGTGTTTGAGTTGATCAATATGGGCACTGAGGAAGAGAAGAAAGAATTGAAATTTTTTGATAATCCCGAGCGGGAAGAGATGATTCAATTATTCAAAGAGTATCTAGATGTCTTTGCATGGACTTACCGAGATATGCCTGGAGTAGATCCAAGGATTGCATCACATAAAATTCCCTTGTACCCGGATGCTGAACCAAAAAAGCAGAAGTTAAGGAGGATGCGCCCAGATATATCCCTGAAAATTAAAGAAGAGGTGACAAAGTTGTTAGAGGCAGAATTTATAGAAGTCTCAGTATACCCAGATTGGGTAGCCAACGTAGTGCATGTGCCTAAAAAGGATGGAAAAATCCGCGTGTGTGTAGACTACAGGGATTTAAATAAAGCTTGTCCGAAGGATGATTTCCCACTTCCTCATATCGATGTACTTGTTGATAATACGGCCAAGTATCATACATTCTCATTTATGGATGGATATTCGGGGTATAATCAAATTCTCATGAATGTTGATGATAAAGAAAAAACTGCTTTTATTACTCCTTGGGGGACATTTCGTTATAGAGTGATGTCATTTGGACTAAAGAATGCAGGGGCTACTTATCAGTGCGCTATGGTTGTATTATTCCACGACATGATGCACAAGGAGATTGAAGTGTATGTGGATGACATAGTTGCTAAGTCAAAAGAAGGGGGGAGTCATGTGAAAGTCCTGAAAAAGTTGTTCGAACGACTCCGAAAGTACCAGTTGAGATTGAACCCTAGCAAATGTGTTTTTGGCGCATCCTCAGGAAAATTGCTCGGTTTCATTGTTAGTAGAGAAGGAATACAGGTGGATCCAGAAAAAGCAAAAGCAATACGAGATATGCTCGCTCCTAAATCAGAGCGAGATGTGAGAAGCTTCTTGGGACTACTCAATTATATTGCTAGATTCATTGCAAACTTAACTAGCACTTGTGAGCCTATCTTTAAGCTATTAAGGAAGAATCAACCAGGGAAGTGGGATGAAGATTTCCAGAAGGCGTTCGACAAAATAAAGGCTTACTTGTTGAACCCCCTATCTTGGTACCGCCAACACCAGGTCGCCCTTTGATTTTGTATTTGACTGTGCTGCCCACCTCCATGGGAGCAATGCTGGGGCAACATGATGAGTCTGGTAAGAAAGAGAAAGTTGTGTACTACATTAGCAAGAAGTTCAATGAATGTGAGGTTCGTTATATGGCAATCGAGAAGACGTGTTGTGCTCTAGTGTTGAGCTCAAAAAGACTACGACAGTACATGTTTATTACACCACTTGGTTGATATCTCGAATAGATCCTTTGAAGTATATATTTGAAAGCCCTCATATTTCTTTAAAGGTCTCAAAATGGCAGATGATATTTTCAGAATTTGACATCCAATACGTGACTCGGAAGTCGATCAAGGGAAGCGCAATTGCAGATCACCTAGCTGAAAATCCCATTGAAGACGACCAGTCAATGCAAATTGAAATTCCAGGCGGGGAAATACTGGCAGTAGAAGAAGATGAGATTGAGAAAAGTGCATGGAAAATGTATTTTGATGGGGCAGTTAATATGCACGGCAGTGGTGTAGGAGCAGTGGTCATTTCACCAACCGGCAAGCAATACCCGGTGGCCATCAAGCTGGACTTTGAATGCACCAATAACATTGCAGAATATGAGGCTTGTGCAAGCGGTCTACGTCTTGCGATCGATTTAGGAGTGAAACTGTTGGAAGTATTTGGGGATTCAGCTCTTATCATTTACCAGGTGAATGGCGAGTGGCAGACTAAAGATGCGAAGTTGGTGCCCTACCAAAAGTACTTGACTCGATTGATTGCAGAGTTTGAAGAAATAGAATTCTCGCATTTAACTAGAGACAAGAATCGATTTGCAGATGCTCTAGCCACGTTGGCTGCAATGACTAAGCTGGATATCCTCAGTGATGTCCAACCTATCCAAGTTGAGATGAGAGATGAACCAGCTCACTGCGCTAGTGTGGAGAACGGGCCAGATGGTAAACCTTGGTACTTTGATATCAAACAGTATATTCAGCACAGAGAATACCCAACTGGGGCAAACGAAGCCCATAGGAAGACCGTTCGCCGGTTGTCGATGGCCTTTTTCTTGAACGGAGAAATTTTGTACAAGAGAAGTCATGATGGCACCCTTTTAAGATGCGTAGATGCTCGTGAAGCTCACTCAATCATGATTGAAGTCCATGAGGGAATTTGTGGGACTCATGCCAATGGACATATGATGACGCGCAAGATTATGAGGAGCGGATATTATTGGTCCACCATGGAGGCAGATTGCGTAGAACATGTTCAAAAGTGCCAAAAGTGTCAAATGTATGCAGACCGTATCAATTCACCGCCTTTTCCATTACACAATATGGTGTCTCCTTGGCCGTTCTCGATGTGGGGAATAGATGTTATTGGTTTGATCAATCCAAAGGCCTCGAATGGGCATCGCTTTATCCTGGTAGCAATAGATTATTTTACCAAGTGGATAGAAGCCTCATCGTATGCCAACATTTCACAAAAGGTGTTTGTCAAGTTTCTCAAGAGAGATATCATTTCCAGATATGGGATTCCAGAAAGGATAATTACAGATAATGCTCCTAATCTTAACGGTGCAGAAGTACGAAAACTATGTGAGCATTTCAAGATCAAGCATCACAACTCAGCTCCTTATAGACCTCAGATGAATGGTGCAGTTGAAGCAGCCAATAAGAATATCAAAAAGATCATTGCCAAGATGGTTGTGAGTTATAAAGATTGGCATGAGATGTTACCCTATGCTTTACACGCGTATCGAACCAATATACGTACGAGTACTGGGGCAACACCTTTCTCCTTGGTATATGGAATGGAGGCTATCTCTCCGATAGAAGTTGAAATTCCTTCATTAAGGGTTTTGATGGAGGCAGAATTAGAAGAGTCCGAATGGGTGAAAGCACGATATGAACAACTGAACATGATTGAAGAGAAAAGATTGACAGCTCTTTGTCACGGGCAGTTGTATCAGGGTAGAATGGCTAAAGCCTTTAACAAGAAAGTCCGGCCGAGGGAATTCCAATCAGGTGATCTGGTCTTAAAAAAAATCTTGCCTAATCAAGAAGATGCTAGAGGAAAATGGGCTCCAAATTATGATGGCCCTTATGTGGTCAAACATGCTTTTTCTGGGGGAGCATTAATTCTACAAGACATGGAAGGGCAGGAGTTACGAAGACCAATAAATACTGATGCTGTCAAAAGATTCTATGCCTAAAAAAAAGTATGAAAAAAAAAGAAGTCTGTTAGATCAAAAATCCAAAAGGGAGGTCTAAGCAAAAATTAGGGCAAACAAAAAAGGGAAAGCCTGTTAGATTGAAAACC